CCTACACTCCCTAGCAATGTTACAGTTTATGAATCTACGTTTATGGAACTTAGATCAGGAATTCTTGTTGACCAGTCTATGTTCAAGATACTCCAACATAATCATGGCCTTATGAATCTACGTTTATGGAACTTAGATCAGGAATTCTTGTTGACCAGTCTATGTTCAAGATAGTCCAACATAATCATGGCCTTATTTGAAAACGAAGTATGTTCTGAGCCCAATATCATGTCAACATAACGTCGAGCAGCATAGGAAGCATAATACGATCTTTACATCCATTCACTCTAATGCCTCCCTATATACATTAACTAAAACGAACATGCAAAAAGCATATATATCATTCACGTTTGGCTTTCCAAACACATTCACACCCATCAGTCAATGAGACAATATGAAACCTCGGATCAGCTGTGAAGAATATAGACGTCTAACGGCGTTTCTTTTAATTCTGATGACATCAACAAGTCCAAAAAGAGTTGTAAGACTAAAGAAAGTTTTCTCGAACTAAAGCCAGCCTCATGAAATCTTTTATTCGCCTTCTAGGCACTCTAATTGCTGTTCTTAATTCCTCATCAAGTCCGTAGACAAGCCCTAATTATTGTGCAGTTAGCAATTATTACGTGACCTTCCACAATCATGTCCCAACTGTCTAGAGTATAGATCAGTTGTTTAATAGTGTATTTAAGATATGTCTTTATCTCTGTATGTGTCCAGTTTCCACAATCTCAATAGCTCTAATGTTCTGGTGCTCTTGTGCTTTTACATAAAAATCATGCCCATCTCCAAAAGGCAACCGAAACACCATTATACACAACAATAAGTAAAACAAAGCGAAAAGGAAAATAACAACTCTGAAGACGGAATGAAATACTGTTGCCATCTTTCTAGGGCGGGTGGCACATCAATAATCGTACATTTTTATAACGGTACACGCAAAACATGCACGTAACTAATGACATATATATCACTTTTAAGAATTGCACGCAAATGCAATATTTTAGATTGTTTTAAATGATTCCTTTTTTCTGGTGTAGTTTGTGTTAAAATTAACATGAAACAACTTGTGATAGAAAACATTTAAATCATTAGAGCAGATACTTCAAACTAATTTGTAAAAGTAATAACTCATTAACTAAGATTATCAGGGCAATAAATTAAGAAATAAAGTTACCATAGCAGTGAGTAAAGAACTAAAATTATCAGCGCAGTAATTTGAAAACTAGGTTGTGATCAATATTCTTCAATCAAAATTATCAGAAAATTAACCTCAACGTTTTTTGGGTACATGGAATTGCTTTACTTCGTCAAATTTTAAGGTATTACTATGATTACCTTAAATGTTTTGTTACATATTTCGATTTGTGGTAAGTCTCATTGACTATAGAGCTATGCACTTTACAAAATATTAGCTCGCGAAGCACTGACTTAACGATCATATCTTCAGTGATACAAGATTCTGGTACTGGCGTAATAAGTAAAGCGATTTATTTTATTTTATAAAACAATGGAATCGTAACGATTATAACGAGAAATTTTGGTACTTTGAATTTTTTTTCATCGGAAAAACTCTATCAACGAATATATGCCATTTCCTTTTTTTAATGGTGCTAATAATAGAAATATTAGAAATAAATAGAAAACTATTCATAAAAAACACAAGTAAAATCATCTCAATAGCTGTGAAATGAGGACCTAGTCCCAATAAATACCGTTTGGTGGAACCGTTGTCTAGATTCTCTTTCCTTTAAATTTTTTCAGTGTTGTTGTTTTCCTAGTCGTTCTTACAACGTATTAACTTATGAAAGGTCCAGGTGGTTATAGCACTTGACTAGCTATATACGGGTTCGAATTCCGTCACCGCACATGCTATTGTATTCAGCCGTTGGGGAGTTATAACAGTCAAACTCACTTTTCATTGGTAAAACAAAATTAATCCAAGGCCTGGTGGTGGGTGATGTTGACTAGCTGTCTTCCCTCTAGTCTATCACTTCAAAATTCGTAGCGACTAGCGCAGATAACCCTTGAGCAGCTTTGCGCGAATTTCTACAAATGTAAAAACACAAACTTGTGAACTTACAGATATGGATTAAAGTGTGAACCAAGTTCTAATCCTAATAGTTAAATCGGAGCATATTTGAAAATAAGGTAACATTATGGACTTGGGAACTTATTCAACAGATGTTTTGTCTCTAGCGAACTTGTTTGAAGCATATAAATAAAGCTTAATAACAACATTCAACGTACAACGACTATGTTTATTACAGCCTTCTGTTGCTGCTTGACCGAATAAAAAAGAAGATTGTTATACCTCGAGGGTTTGCAGTCATGTGACTGCAAACAAAGATGTTAATATCTAACTTCTTACACCTGATTGTTCAGGTTAATTGAGCTATTCTATGATATTATATATGGTATTCAATGAATTTATTTCAAGTGAAATTAGTACACACTTTGAAAAAGCCATTCTATGAATTTAAATTATAAAAGCTTATTTAATTGGAAACGTCTCCACCTTTGGTTCAAAACGTTTCGAAATCTGGATTCTACACCCTATATAAAACCAAGTTACCCTATTCATATTTAAGCCTTCAGCAACTTGAATAGTTTTCTTTTTTATCAACTTGGAAGATTAAGCGTATTTTACAGGCTTTTCTCCCAGGACTCAGACTCATAGATGCCTCCTTCATCATTCTCTGTTGCTGAAAGCTCCACATAAAGCTGTGGGACCTTGAAACGACTACTGAGAGAAGTTAAACTTCGTTTGGAAACGTAAGTAGGTATTTGTTCTCATAAATTATTCCAGAAGTCGTTATGCTTCTAGGTAATAATAAGAAAACAAATGGACATTTTTTGGAGGAAATAATAGGCTGAATATCTCTCTAGTGTACAGAATCTAAAGATTATCCCGATTAGTCTCGCTAAAGCACCCAATTTCACTTTTGGAAACTTTATTCAATGTGGTACTGTCCGGGCGTGGTCTAGAATTACTGTACCCAGATTGTAATTCGAGAGTTCGCGAACCGATATAAGAATGAAAGACAAATCCCACTGTTCAATCAGAAAAAATATCCCTAGAGTTGATGGTTGATGATGTTGAGTAGCTAGCTGCCTACCCTCGAGTCTATCGGCTCAAAATAAGAGGTGGCTACGTGCAGACAGCCCATGCATATCTTTGAAGAGACTTTTAAATCACACAGACAATCTGAAAAGATTATTCAATTGTTAACACACCTTTTAGTTTTATTCAACCGTCATTCACGTGCATTTTATTAATACTGTATACTCTTATTGCTTACAACATTTTGACTCCCCATTATGTATATATATCATGGATTTTATTTTCTTGTACAGGATCGGAACTGCATATCCTGGCAGGAAAGCAACCCCTGTCCATCACTTTAACAGTATTGTTTTAAGAGAGATGGTGGGAGAGAAGATTCGGTTAAGCAGTTTTAACAAAAATATTTAGAATAATTTCATAAAACTTATTTGGCTAACAACAATGTTCGATCGCAATATTTACATGTTTGTTTGTTTTTTTAATTATGCACAAAGCTACACGAGGGCTATCTGTGCTCTGCCCACCACGAGTATCGAAACCCGGTTTCTAGCGATGTGAGTCCGCAGACATACCGCTGTGCCACTGGGGGGGGGGGGCGTTTTTACATGTAAACTGATCAAAATTAAAGTTAAGATACCACTTAATAATATGTGTGAATATAAAACATAACATAATATTTTGGGTCAACATGAGACCTATTGGTCCATCTCGGCTGTTCCAACCTCAAAACTAAATTAAAATGGTTAAAAAAGATAATAAAATTTTAAAACCAACCCTTTTCATTCATATACTTATCAAACTTTTTCTTAAACTCACTTAAATTTATTGCCTGTACAACATCTGAATGCAACCCATTTCAAAGGCCAATCACCCTGTTAGAAAAATTAAACTGTCTTAGCTGAAGATGACTCCTACCTTACCAAATAATATAGAAGTAATATGTGTGAATATGCATACACACATATATGTAATTTTGAAGTAAAACAGCATTGTAGTTTGCTATAAACGTGAAAATACTTCTCAGAAGCTCGAGCGCTTTCGAAAAGTGGTCTCTTTTTCATCATATAAAAAAAAGAAAAAACCTTCGACAGCGCTCGGGCTTTTTTTAGCTTGTATATAAACATACATATTATACATAGCAGTGTTTATATACTCTTTAAAAAATACCTTAGGTTTCTAAAGTGAATAACATAAGCTGAATTAGTTCGAAACTTACCGTAGTAATGCTTATCTCGTTTATAGTAGTATCTTAAGTTTTGAGTTCAAGCACATTGTAAACAGGATGACAGGCGAACAAAACTCTTCTGTGATACTTAGCCAAAGTAACGCTTTCACCGTCTCACAAGCACACAATTCACCACTCAAGTCTTCTGACACGAACAACCAAAGCTAGAATAATAGAGCTTTTGAGTCAGGAAACCTGCTTAAAAGCTAGTTGATCGCTGCGCCCCTATGTGCTCGTCACAGTGTTACTCACATCATAAACTGTTAAGAGTCCGCGCACCTTCCTTCTCACACTTCACCCTGGAACTTTGGTGTGTCAACCTATCGAAAGAACACAGATTGAGAGGCTCGCTCAGTGACGTCTGAACGCTACCTGCGCGTGCTCGTAACGTGCATCGAGGCTTGTCTCTTTCAATCTATATGTCTTTCTCATGAAACCGGTAATTGCTCCAGATGGTGGTGCGTGAAGCCGCTGTGGCCCAGTTTTAAGCTAGCATCACCTCCAGCCTACACATATTTCTTTCTTCAAACAACGACATTTTCTGCTGTCACGATCTTAAAATTACTCTTTGCTGTAGGATATTTGCTTCTGTTACCATGGAAACTTCGAGAGGGGTCCAGAAGGACAAACTCGTTCAGCAGTACTAACTCTCTTCAGAAACGTACCAATATACTTTTGTTCTTACTCCCTGAACTTACAAGTTACATATAATTTATTATTCGTGTCATTTTTTACTAGCTTGTAACTCCTACACACCAATTTGTACTCCTACTGTCCTACAATTTTCGTAAATTCCTCCTTCTTATACATCTAATCTCCATATTTTTCTCATTTACTTTACGTACAATCATATCTGCTCCTGCTAATCTCAAACACATGTTTATTTTTTTATTTTCCTTTAATATACAGTGATTTCAATACTCTATATTTTGCCTCTACTGTAGCATACCTCTATCGATCATATGTTGATATAACCTTCAAACGATTTTGTCTTCCTTCTTATCTACTGTTCCAATTCTGCCACCAATTTCAATATTGTTTCTACAGTAACATAACTTAAATACAATTTTTCCTCCTGGTAATTAGTATAACTATCATATTTCTGTTTCCATCCGCTTTCCAGTTTAAAACGTTTGCCCTCGCTTACGCGACATTTCTGCCCTTACCACTTTCCATTCTTCAAACAGCTGTTTCTGCCATATTCCACTCATATACGATCGTTTTTGACCTTGTACCTACCACCATCTAGTCTCTATAAAGTTTTTTTCGTGACCTTGCTAATTTAGCATTTTTGCTCCTACCATTTTCTACTCTCCATACAATCATCTATATTCCTGTTAATAACTGATTTCTGTTTCTACTCACCCTACGACCTTTATTGTTCCCATTAACAGTACATTCCTGACCACCACCCATCCTTTCTATGATTTTTCTTATTAATGTTAACAGTACATTGCTGCTCCTACAACGTTTCTTGCTCGGTTAACAGTTCATTCCTGCCTCTACTACGCTCCATCACACTACGACCTTCTTGTTCCTGCTAAGAGTACATTCCTGACAGTACCATTACCCACTCTCCTTATGATCATTCATGTCTCTACTTCCTTACGGTCCTGAAGTGATGATGGGGTAGCTATGATTTAGACTAATGTTATATGAATCAACTATGAAAAGTCTTATCCTGATACCCCACAGTGGTACAGCGGTATGTCTGCGGACTTACAACGCTAGAATCCGGGTTTCGATACCCGTGGTGGGCAGAGCACAGATAGCCCATTGTGTAGTTTAGTGCTTAATTACAAACAAACAAACAGTCTTATTCTGATAATGTCGAAATAATATATAATATTGATTTATAGTACAAATTATAAAGATAAGTTTGATATATGTATTAGCAAGTTGAACGCTGTATTAACTCAATCTAATGACATTTCTGAAACACAATTTTATAAAACAGAATCACATTTAATAGAATAATTTATTTTATTTCAGATACAAGGGCAAATTGAGAAGGTTTTGATGAAAATAGGTCGCAAATCAGACCACAATAATGGATAACTTTCCTTGTAATGTGAGTGCATAGATTCGTTGAAAACAGTCCGTAGTTTGCAAAAAAAAGAAGAAAAAATTGATTAGCACGGTATAAGATACGTGGATGCATGAAAACATGAAATGATTAGCATGGTATAAGATACGTGGATGCATGAAAACATGAAATTATTAGCATGGTATAAGATACGTGGATGTATGAAAACATGAAATGATTAGCATGGTATAAGATACGTGGATGTGTGAACACATGCGAGTTCTGTTCATCAGCTCACTGTTACATATCAAGGACCAGGAGTGCGCTATATCATATAATAAGCATATGTTCTGTTCAGAAGCACCAGTGATTTTCGATTTTCTTCTTGTTCAGCTGATGCATTCAAAGAAATATTTTGATTTTCTAACTATTAACAAAAATGAGTTTGAACATATATCAAAAATCAGGGGCAACAAAGGTAAACAATGAGTGCATAGTGGTCACGTGATAGTAAGACATAAATCTGCTTGTCAGTGAAGGTTGTTGAAATCAATTACCATCAAGTTTGGTGGGAACTTCCCGAGAGGCTCTCATGACCATTAAGGCTGGTGCAGATTTGTTGTAAAAGCCACTGAAGTGTTTATCACGAAACTGACTTTTCCAGCTACCGCCCTTTTCTATATTTTTTAGCTCATGCGCAAGGTTATACGAAAATAATATTGCTAAGAAATAAATATTTTTATTATAGTTAATAGTGATATTTTTAAACATTTATACTCTATACTCACGTATTAAATCAAAGTCCCTGATGGGGAGCTGAATCTGTCAGCAGTGATCAGAAAAACCAAAACTTAAGCATGACATTTACGCCACTATAACTCTAGAATTACCGCTGGGGTTCCATATAGACCTCAACGACATTTGAAATACATTGATTCTTAAGCTATTTCCCTTGGTTAGTCAGCGCCAAGTCTATGAGTTTATAACGCTAAACATCGGGTTTCGATACCCGCCGCGTGTAGGGCGAAAATAACCTATTGTGTAGCTTTCGGCTTAGCAACAAACAAACAAATTCTAAACTATTCATGCATCAGGTTGCTTGTATGTCAATAACTTTGGTGGTTACAGGGCTCTTGTAACACATAATGTCAGAAATAAAAAGCGCAATTTCAAAAAACACACCCCTTGTTGTTGACTAGGCAAGGATTAACACCCTTAAAGGTGTAACTTTTGAACAAATAAAAGTTTATACTACTGATATGTATATAAAGGTGTAAATTTATAAGCAGAATTAATGAAGTCATGTGTGCTATCTGAGCATAAAATAAAAGGATTGTTAACAAAATAATTGAAATTAAAATACTTTTATTAATATGATATTTTATGCAAACATTTTTTAAAAGACAGTAACTCTACAAAATACTTACATTTACAATTCAGCTTACTTGCAAAAAATATTACTATCATTTAATATTTCGTAATTGAATTGCGGGTGTGAAACCACTTTTTTGGAGGAGAAGTGTGAATTCACACCATTTGCGTGTAACTTCTACATCAATACTTCACACCGATAAAAGTAGGAAATCAAATTTTTAGACTGTATGAGTCAAACGAAACATTTCAACAAAAATACCATTTAACATTTCAACTATATCCTCTACTTACTGATGTGGTATCCTGTGTATTTTACGTAGAAAATTAATGATTTTTTCCAGTATTTTTGGTAAATTCTTTACATTGAGTTTTAAAACAGGCAAAACATAAAATTCTTCAATACTATGCAATATGTAAACGTACCAGCATAATGAACGGTATAAAAACCAAACATCTATATCGTGAGTTTTAGAGTTTAACATTTTAAAATAATTTAAGATGGTAACTTAAGTCTGCTTTTAACTTAAAAAGTGAACTTATATAAATTTATGTTACTTTCTAACGGAAATTGTGTTTAACAACGTTGCTGCAGTAAAAGCTTCCACTGGGAGTTTTACTTAGTTATTGAAATGCCATATTATAATAATGTTAATAGTAATACAACCATTTCAGCGTCATTTTACATACATCCTATTCCTAACTTCTATTATTACTTGCCTTGTTTGTTCAGCACTTTTCAAATTACACAACTTTTCTGTGTCACTATACTTAGTAATATATATTGTTACTGATATTTTGAGTCATCACAACAATTTTTACAACACACGCTACGATGACTCTTGAATAACAATGTATCTGAATATAAAATTTAATAAATAATTAAAACCAACGTGTCATACTTACACAAATATAGAGCTCAACAACATTTCAAATGCATCTATCCCTAAACTTAATATTTAAGTTTTTAAAATTGTGTAAACGTTGGTTTTAATTATATATATTAAATTTTAGACAACACACAAGTGTCGATCATTCATAATTATCTGAATATATATATTTTATCAAATATCCAAGTTTTAATGGTTTTGTTACCAGAATACAGTCCTCGACAACCTGATTTTGTAATCTGAATGATTTCAGAGGACTAAAACTGTGTTCATACTTAATGTCTCATTGTTATTTGAAACTCCTGTATGTGCCAGACCACAACAAACTACATCTATTTCCACAAAACGTTTTTGTTACGCTTATAAACATTTGGTTTTTGACGCATTTCCTTTGAGCAGGTGAAAATCGCTTGGAAAAACAAACAAAAACAAAACATTTTCTCAGAATTCTCAGTGTTCTTTACTAGGCATTTTGGCATGTTCATTATTTTATTATACTTACGTTTTCCCTAGAATCAGAGCATCATTTTGTTTTTATTTTTATGCACATTTATAAAACTGTTACTTTAGAAACGTGTAAAAAATTGAAATGAAACAAAACTCACACAAGTGTAAAAATGAGCTATATTATAAAAGAAAACCCTAAAACTTATATCAACAGGGGCAGAAATGTGATAAATTCTTTTAAAAGTCATACTTCATATAAAAAATAAGGTTTTTCTCTATAACACCTATCTTTGTCTTTCTTCGAGTTTGATTATGAAGTCTCCTAATGTTAATTATTTAGAAAATTAGGATCCTTAAA